GCAAAGACTATAGAATATCAAAATTGGAGGATGCTTTGGTGACGAACAATATATACTTTTAAAAAACAAACTAAAGACAAATATATGAAACGACTCACAGACAAGGGTAACGGACGGGTAGCCCTCTATCCATTCAATATTCCCGACACACACATGTATTTAATTAAAATTAAGATGCGTTGCTGACAAATATATAAAACGACATACCGATTTGCGAGTGGATTCAGACATCCATGGGATATCGCCTTCGATCATCGTTCGGAGGGACGCAATGACGTTCTCGACCAGCTCTAACATCTGTGCCTGTGGTTCGGGAGGGTAAGAAAATAGGTGTTAGTATAGTATTATATTCATATGAAGAAAACCACCCGGGTTTTTTTATACTAAGTGTTAGGTAGATGGCAAAGAGCGGCATACCGGGAATCTATGGGCTCAAATATATGATAGCACAGATGTATACCTTGGACTGGCAGGGACGTATCAATCGCAATACAATGCGTCACATACATTTATGCAACACAAGATATTCACGAGTATAAACCTCAAGTTTTTTATGGGACCAAATGTACGATAGCAGGGCTGCATACCTTAGACTCGGCAGGGAAGTATCGATCACAGTACAAAGCCCCACAGAGCTCGCCGGCATAGTTCTCGACAAAAGTCAGCATGCGCTTCCATCTGGCTCCCATCTCCAGTTGGCCCTATACAATTGGAAAAAACAACCAGTTTATAAGTTTACAGGTTTACAAGTTCTATATCCTGGTTAGCAATGTGCGAGTTGGGCGTGGTCGTTTAATCTCTGGAGTTCTGGAGTGAAGTCGAATCCCGCGATATATATATACATATTAACACCTTAACCTATGCACACATGTAGACATACTAACTGCACACAAATTCATGCACCTCATCTATACACACATGTAGACACGCATATAGACACCCACATACCGTCATATACTTGGAATAGAACTCGAAGTCCTCGTTAACAAAGGCCTCGGGCAGGTACTTGGCAAAGCGCTTCAGGGTGTGGAATTTCGCGTAGTTCTTCCACGCACCCACATTCTCATCTGTGACAGCGGAGCACACAAACTTGTGGTGGCGAGGGTTCGTTAGGTTAATAACTTCGCTCTCGGTGATGTCTAGGCAATTGTCTCCGGCAACGCACACGTCGAAGTACGTCTTCCAGTCCCACGCAGAATCGAGCTCCTTGCGGGTGATGGGGTTGTAGGTGCTGTACGTGTAGTATATTATAGTGAGACGGGGAGTATGAAATTCAAATGATGCTCATTTGCGTGTGGGATCGTTTCGGGTGCTGGGGCTAATATATATAGTAAGTATATGTATATGTGTATACATCCATTTTCTTATACTTATATATATATATATATATATGCATATATATATGTATGTATGTATGTATGTATATGTATA